TCCAAGTCCCAAAATTGAATTCCGAGTTCAATAGCTAAAAGTCAACCTATGATCAAACTTTTTAATTTAAAATTGCCAAATTTCGGGAAATCAACACAAATTAACCTAGAGACATTCAAAATCGATTGCGGGCATATGCCCAAGTCTAAAATCACGATATGAAGTTATCGGATTCTTAAAAACACAGTTCCGGGGTCGTTTTCACAAAAGTCGAAGTCTGGTCAATATTTCCAAATTTAAACTTCTAAAGTCTAGAATTAAGGATCCAAATCAACTCGAAAACTTCCTAGAACGAAACTAATCAATCGCGAAAGTCATAAAGATATAAACACACAATTATGAAGCAATAAAAAGGGTATCGAGGGAAAATTACACAAAATGACCTATTGGGTCGTCACATTCTCCCCTCTTAAAACAAACTTTCGTACTTGAGCGTGCATAATGACATACCATAAGGACTCTGCATGTCGTGCTCAGTCTCCCAGGTCGCCTCCTCTGCTGGATGACCCCTCCATTGAACCTTCACCGAAGCAATATCCTTTGACCTCAGCTTCCGGACTTGCCGGTCCAAGATGGCCACCGGCTCCTCAACATAAGACAAATCGTTATCCAACTGGACTGAGCAGAAGTCTAACACATGAGACGGATCATCGTGATACTTTCGGAGCATAGAAATACTGGATGAACTGCTGCTAGACTAGGTGGTAGTGCAAGCTTGTAGGCAACCTCTCCAATCCTCTCAAGAATCTCAGAAGGTCTGATATACCTAGGGCTTAACTTGCCCTTCTTCCCGAACCTCATAACACCCTTCATGGGCAAAACTTGTAGCAAGACCCGCTCCCCAACCATGAATGCAACATCGCAAACCCTCCGATCCTCATAACTCTTTTGTCTAGATTAGGATGTGCGAAACCGATCTTGTATCAATTTAACTTTGTCTAGAGCATCCTGGACCAAGTCTGTACCCAATAGCCTAGCCTCGCCCGGCTCAAACCAACCTATCGGAGACCGACACCGTCTCCCATACAAGACCTCATACGGAGCCATCTGAATGCTCAAATGGTAGCTGTTGTTGTAGGCAAGCTCCGCAAGCGGCAAGAACTGATCCCAAGAACCCCCAAACTCCATCAGACACGCACATGGCATATCCTCCAGTATTTGAATAGTGTGCTCGGACTGTCCGTCCGTCCGAGGGTGAAATGTTGTTCTTTACTCCACCCGTGTGCCTAACTCATACTGTACGACCCTCTAGAACCGTGATGTAGATTGTGTACCCCGGTTTAAGATGATGGATACCAGCACGCCATGAAGTCTGACGATCGCACGGATATAGACCTGAGCCAGCTTCTCGGAAGAGTAAGTAGTCACCACTGGAATGCAATGAGCCGACTTTGTCAACCTATCCACAATCAGCCATACTGCGTCAAACTTCTTCCGAGTCTGTGGGAGGCCAACAATAAAATTCATAGTAACCCGATTCCATTTCCCCTATAGAATCTCTAGCCTCTAAAGCAATCCACCTGGCCGCTAATGCTCATACAAAACCTCTTCACAATTTTTGCACTAAGCTACATACTCCACTATGTCTTTCTTCATCCTCCTCTACCAATAATGCTGCCTCAAGTCCAAATACATCTTAGCGGCACCGGGATGAATAGAGTACCGTAAACTGTGAGCCTCCTGAAGAATCAACTCACGCAACCCATCTATATTGGTCACACATAGCCTGACTGCATCAGCAACACACCGTCATCCCCGATAGTGACCTCCTTGGCATCGCCATACTGAACCTGTGTCCTTGAGGACAAACAGATAGGGGTCGGCATACTGACGCTCTCTGATACGATCATATAGAGTAGAAAACCACACAGGCAAGAACCCGGCTGGGCTCCGAAACATCCAATCTAACAAACTGATTGACTAAGGCCTGAACCTACAATGCTAATGGCCTCTTTGCTACTTGTAGATTTGCTAAACTATGCAAACTTTCCACCTATCGACTCAAGGCATCGACCACCATATTGGCCTTCTCGGGATGATATAGAATGGTGATATCATATACCTTAAGTTACTCTAACCACCTCCGCTACCGCTAGTGAAGATCCTTCTGTTTGAACAGATGCTGTTGATGAGCTTAACATTACTTATTATTTATGCCACTTTGCGTCTTATTTTGGGCTGATTCGATAGAGATTTGGTCTGATTTGGGTCTAATATGTTGTCTTTTAGTGCAGGTGATGCAGAGGGGATCAATGGACGAATAGTGCACTTAGTGGGAGGAAAAAGAGTTGAGCAAGAGAAAATCCCAAGTGCATGGCCACGCACGATCAACTCAGGGCGCAGTTGAGCGCACAAGTGACACAATACGCTGCCAGAAGCGTGGTCATACCTCCAGGTGCGCGGTCGCACACGTCCACCTCTGGGAATTTGAGCCAGACCTATTTTTGTAATTTTAGAGGCGGACTTTTTGACCTCTATGAAGCCTAGCTTGTCTCAAAACAAGGCATCTCAAATTTTGGAGCAACTTTTGGAGAGAAGAAGTCAAGGAAACAATTGAGACTGTAAATACTTCATCTAGTTCATTCAATACAGAAGTTTGTTTGATTTTGGGAATTATAATGTTTTCTTGTTCTTTTAATTCTCTGCGATTAACAACTTCTCCACTATGGAGTAATCTTTCTTAAGCTTATTGACAAATATAGTGATTTGACTATTGTTCTGGGTTTGCGTTGTGTTAATAGCTCGAATTTGTTGAATCAGTTATTAATTGAATTTTAAGGCTAATTGTGCTTTACTTTTAATCAAAAGGGAAGTGTTGCTTCAATTTGTGTTGTATTATCTTGCGCGGGCTGATTTCATGACTCTCACATGTAATTGGAAGAGCTAACAGAGTTATTAATTGACCCAAGTTAGAAGAATAGTCGAGAGACGTTCTTCGTAAGATCATTCGTTCAACATATTATAGCATATTTTCTAAGCACATATCATTAGTTTGTTTAGCGCACTCGAATTCATTCGGAAGAAGAATTTGGATCCTCAAGATAGCCTAACATCTATTGAATTCGGAAGAGTCAATAGAAATTAAGAGTGAAAATTGCACAGAGTTGCCCACAGTAATAGTTGATCACTTATCTTGTCAAAGCCCTTGTTTCTCACCTTGATATTTAGTCGCTGCTACTTAGTTACTAATTTCGCATTATTAATTCACAATTGAGAATCGTAGTTTTTATTCTTAATTTGTTAATAACTAAAATTCAAAGGTTGATTTTCCTGAATATTGTTAAGCTGAAGATGTCTTTGAGCATTATTTAACCCAATCCATGTGGAGACGATTTAATACTATACTATCTTTGACTAACGAGCCTAAGTTTTATACACTATTTTTGCGCTCGTAAAATTTTACCGTCGTTGCCGGGGATTGACGATTCATATTGTTTAAAATAATTTTCGGTGCTGATACAGTAACAACTTTATTTATTTCCTTTTTTATGCTCTTCTTATCCGTGTGTAGGCAACATGGTAAATTCATTGGAGTATGACTCGATCCTTCACTAGGGAATTGGTGCCATACAATTCAGAACTAGACAAGCACTTGCGGCAATTGAGAACAGAGAAAAAATCGAGTGGATCATTATTGGGTCAACCTTCGACTCAAATTACGATGGTGAGCAACGAAAAGGACGTGAACCTAGCTGCGAGAGAGGCAGCTCAAAAATAGGTGCACGGTTAGCAATTGAAGCAGCCCTTAGAGTTTGCTGATGAAATAATCTAAGAGGATCGAAGGTTCAATCTCAACAGAACCATGGTGAAAGATGAATTTGAAAATGCATTTCCCGGGCCTGGGAGGTCTCTAGGAGATTATGCCAGAATGGTGTACAACCGGCGACAATCTAGTGTGAGGGCCCTACCTATTGAGACCAACAATTTTGAACGCATGGAGTCATCCAAACCATTCAGAAAAACTGCATATTCAGAGGCAAACCCAATGAAGATTCCAACAACCATATGATGGGCTTCGATGAAATTGTGATCACATTCCGCTATAATGGAGCATCATATGATGCCAATGACCTTAGAGAATTCCCTTTCTCACTTAAGGATGATGCAAAGCAGTGGTTAAGTAGTTTACCCACAGGGTTAATACGTACGTGAGAGGAGATGACTGCCAAGTTCTTGGAGAACTATTTCTCCGCTGCTAAGACTTGACAGATGAGGAAGGAGATTCACAATTTCAGCCAAGGAGAAGGGGAGACATTTTTCGAGGCATGGGAAAGATTTAACGAGCTATTGCGGAGGTGCCTTCATAAAGGAATGGAGCAATGGATGCAACTCCAAGGTTTCTAGGATGGGTTAAACCCGTCATCAAGGAGATTGTTGAACAGTGCAGTTGCAGGCCCTCTGATGAAGAAAAATCCTGTAGAGATTGTCACACTTTTGAATGAACTATCTAAAGAAGCAGAACAATGGTCCACTGACCAAGGGGATCGAGCAAGATCAATAGGGGTGCACCAAGTAGAATCATCAATAGCAATGCAGGCCCAAATTGCAGCTATGGCTGAGGACATCAAGCAACTGATGATAACTCAGGTGCAAAATCAACCACAGGTTGGATGTGACATCTGTGGAATGGGACACCAAACTCATGAGTGCCAAACCTTCACCGTAGAAGAAGAAGTGAAGGCATTGGGGAATTTCAACAAAGGCAACTACCAAGGAGGTACTAATTTCAATTCTATGGGATAGTGACATCCGGGGTTCTCCATGGAGTTCTTCAAATGGTAGCTTGAACTCATGGCAGCAGCAAAATCCCATATTACCAGTGCAAGGACCTCTTGGCTTCAAGAACCAACAAAGGCAACCGTACCAGCCTCCACAGCCTAACAACTCAAGTTTAGAAGATCTAATGAAGGCATTCATAAATAAATTAGATGAAAAAGCTTGAGACTCAAGGAAAAACTATCCGGGAACAAGGCACAGCCATTCAGAATCTAGAATGACAAATGGGGCAGCTCGCATCATTATTATCAGAAAGGGCTCTAGGGACTTTGTCGTCCGACACTGAGAAGAATCCAAAAGAGACGGTCAAGGCTGTGTCTCTTAGGAGTGGGAAAACAGTAGTGGAGCCCATTGCAAAACCAATTTTTGAAATGGTGATCAACTCAACCAAGATAGCAGAAGAACAGAAAATTGGTGAATCTTTGGCTAAGGAGGATATAAGTAACAAGGAGGTTGATAAGCAGAAATTGAGCAGTGCAGTTGAGGAAAGTAAGCACATGACAATGGTACCTTTTCCTCAGAAGATGAAGCGGGAGAAACTAGATAAATTCATTAGAAAATTCTTGGAGATGCTGAAACAGCTGTATGTGAACATCCCATTCACTGAGGTGCTCACCCAGATGCCTACCTATGTCAAATTCCTGAAGGAAATCCTTTCAAGTAAAAGGAAGATCGAGGAAACAAAAGTGGTCAAACTCAATGCACAATGCAATGCCATTCTACAAAATAAAATTCCTCAAAAATGTGGGTATCCTGGTAGCTTCACTATACCCTACGCACTGGGGGTGAAAATTTTGACAAGGCCTTGTGTGACTCAGGTGCATCCGTTAACCTGATGCCATTATCGATTTTCAAGAAATTGGAAGGAGAACTAGGAGTGATCAAATCAGTGCCGGTATCTTTGCAACTCGCTGATCAGACCATAATCATACCGGATGGCATAATCGAGGACACTCTGGTGAGGGTAGACAATTTTGTCTTCCTAGTAGACTTCAGTGTAGTAGACATGGAAATAAATAAGGAGGTACCTCTAATCTTGGGGGGAGCATTCCTTTGCACTGGACGGGCTATTATTGATATATATGAGGGTCAACTCATGCTACGAGTGGGAAACGAAAAAGTGGTGTTTCAAGTGAAGATAATGATGAAATGCCCGTCTGATGAGGCATCTGCCTATGCTTGTTTCAAACTGGATGTGGTAGGAGAGTTAGCTGAACAGCACAAGCTGGACAAGCTGGTAGGTGATTCATTGGAAAGATTCATTAGTCAATCGAGTACAGTAGAGGATGATGATCCTGAAATCAAGAAGGAAGCTGAGGCACTGAAAGATGGAAACCATGTGGCAGATGAAGAGGAATTTGAGAAAGAAAGGATCAAGCCAAAGCTAGAAATGAAAGTACCCCTGACACATTTGAAATATGCTTTTTTGGAGACTAACAATTTTCCTGTGATTGTTGCTGCTGATTTGATAGGTGAACAAGATCACATGCTAGTGGAGTAACTATGGATGCATAAAAAGCAATTGGTTGGAGCATAGACAATATTTAGGGAATCAGCCTCACAATCTAAATGCACAATTTTTTGTTGGAATAAGGGAGCAAACCGGTAGTGTAGCCCCAGTACAATTTGAATAAAAACCTTGAGGAGGTGGTAAAAAAAGAGATACTCAAACTGCTGGATGCTGGTATAATATTTCCCATCTCTGACAGCCAATGGATCAACCCCGTATAGTGTGTGCCCAAAAAGGGTGGCATGACAGTGGTGAAAAATGAGGACAATGCAACAAGGAAGGATCACTTACCTCTTCCCTTCATTGATCAGATGTTGGAGAAGGTGGCAGGGCGTGGATGTTACTGCCCTTCCGGAATCTTTGCCCACCGGAGAATGCCTTTTGGACTTGACATTGCACCAGCTACTTTTTAGAGGTGCATGATGTCAATCCTTTCGGATTTGAATGGGAAGTGTCTGGAGGTGTTCATGGATTACTTTACTCTATTAGGAGACGACTTCAAGGATTGCTTGATGAATCATGAACTTTTACTCAAACGATGTGAAGATACTCACCTATTACTCAATTGGGAAAAGTGTCTCTTCATGGTTAAGGAAGGGATAGTCTTGGGCCATAAATCACATCTGAAGGTATTGAGGTCGACAAAGCTAAATTAGATGTGATTGCTAAGCTCACATAACCAACTTCAATGAAGAGCATCATAAGCTTTTTGGGGCATGCAGGGTTTTATAAAAGGTTCATCAAGAATTTCTCCAGCATCACCGAGCCCTTAATAGCATTACTTGCCAAGGATATGAAATTTGTGTTTGATATAGAGTACCTCAGAGCATTCAAACCTATCAAGGAAAAGCTAGTGAGTGCTCCGATAATACTGACTCCTGACTGGAGCAAACCCTTTGAGATCATGTGCGATGCCAGTGATGTGGTAGTGGGATCAGTGCTGGGGCAGAGGAGAGATAAAATGTTCATACCCATTTACTATGCAAGCCGGACCTTGAATAATGCTCAAGTGACTTATGCTACCACGGAGAAGAAGTTCTTTGTAGTGTTCTTCGCTTTCGACAAGTTCAGATCCAATCTAGTGGGAAGCAAGGTGATAGTGAATATTGAAAACTCGGCACTGAAGTATTTGCTGAGCAAGAAAGAGTCCAAAATGCATCTGATGCGGTGGGTATTGTTGCTGCAAGATTTTGATCTCGAAATCACAGACAGGAAGGGTACAGAAAATCAAAGTGGCTAACCACTTACCGCGATTGGAGAAACAACCTATTGAAGCGGTGGACACTCAAGTAGAGTTCCCAGATGCGCAGATTTTTTTCACTGTAGTGGTCTCTGAATGACCGCCATGGTACACTGACATAGCCAATATTTTGGATAGTGGATGGCTACCACACGACTTGACTGCTGACCAAAAGAGGAAGCTGCAAAGCAAGGTAAAAAGTTACTTCCGGAATGACCCCTTTCTGTTTAAATTGTGTGCAGATGGTGTAATTCGGATATGCGTACCAAAAGGGGGAATAGGAAGTATACTGTCCCATTTTCATGATGGAGCAGTTGGAAGACACTATGGAGGAAATAGGACTGCAGCGAAGTTCATAGAGGTCGGTTTTTACTGGCCATCCCTGTACAAGGACTCAAGACCTTACGTAGCTGGATGTGACAAGTGCCAACGGACATGTAACATTAGTAAAAGGGACGAGATGCCCCTGAATTCCATTTTGGTATGTGAAATCTTTGATGTCTGGGGCATCAACTTCATGGGTCCCTTCCCATCGTCCCATTCCCATGAGTACATCCTAGTGACCATTGACTACGTCTCTAAGTGGGTCGAGGCAATATCCACTAGGAAAAACGATGCTCGGGTAGTATGTGAATTTCTTCCGGAGAATATTTTCACCCGCTTTGGCGCTCCCCGAGTCATCATCAGTGACAATGGGTAACATTTAGTCAAGAAACAGTTTGCTGCTCTACTGTCTAAATATGGGGTAACTCATAAAACATGAACCTCATATCATGCTCAAACTAGTGGGCAAGTAGAAGTAGCTAACCGTGAACTCAAAAGAAGAAAAAATTGTTACTGCTTCTAGAAAGGATTGGTTAGTAAAGTTAGAGGAAGCTCTATGGGCATATAGAACAACGTTCAAAACAACCATAGGGACTTCACCCTTCAAATTGTTATATGGAAAGTCATGTCACTTACCTGTGGAGATAGAGCATAAGGCTTATTGGGGAATTTTAATTGCTTAATCTCGATCTTAGTCTTGCAGGTGAGCACAGAATGTCATAGCTGAATGAGCTGGAGGAATTCAGATTAGACGTGTATGAGAATGTGCGAATTTTCAAGGAAAAGACGAAGAAATGGCATGACCGTCTGATTAAACCAAAGTAATTTCATAAAGGGGAAAAGGTCTTACTATACAATAGTAGACTCAGATTGTTCCCCAGAAAATTTAAGTCTAGATGGATGGGACTGTATGTGGTGAAACATGTATCACCATATGGGGCGATTGAGATCCAGAACATGGACAGAACGGAGAGTTTCAGAGTGAATGGGCACAGGCTAAAATCATATCTTGCTGGAGCATCATAATCATTTGAGGATGCCCGGTTGAGTCAAGCTGACGACTATAACTCATAACTACCTCAAATCTTCTACTAGCTTAAATTTTCTCTTTTGTTTCTTTCTTTTTTGTAGCGTAGATTAGGTAAAAGTGAGTGTATATTATAACTTTGTGGTTGCAGGAAGGTATATATATTGCGAAAGGTCAGAATTGAGGCTTTTAAAAGGCATCTTGTGCGTGTATAGGTGCGCGACCGCGCACGTGGAAGGGTGCACCATGCATGTGATCGTGCAAAATATGGCGTCAGCAAAGTTTGGACATGTAAGATCGCACACCTGGAGGGAGGACGGCACACTCGACCGCGCATGTGCACCAGTCTTCTAACATATGTGCCCCGCCGCGCACAAGTAAGTACTCAACCCCTTTTAATATTGGACCCCCCGAACCCCTTTCTAATATTTCCCCATTCTCTCTCATCTTTCACTAAAACAAACCCTAACTCCCCCCCCCCCCCATCTCTTTCTCTGCGACCAAACAAACACCCACTCCCCTACTCTCTCATTTCCCCCTTCCTCAAGAGTACCTCTTCCAAGTGACCCCTCAGGTATGTAACATGATTTTTCCTTGTTCTTTTGTAGTTCTTTCTTTGTCGTTTTGCTTTTCCTTTTCTTGTGGGGTTGGAGATTGGGTTTCACAATGGGTACTGAGAGTATGGTTGCTAGGTAGTGGAATTGGTGTATATGTAGTCCACCTAGGGCTAAAATTGCTTTGGGGGAAATAGGAATAGCTTTGCATGTTAAGTGTTTGTGTAAGTGCCACAATGAGGTTGAGAGATGTATTCTTGAATCTGTTGCTCACCCGATACTAATCCAAGTACTTAATTTGGGTGAACTAATAATGAGGGTATATTCTCCTGATTTGGGGATGGGCCCCTCCCATGGATACAATAATGTATTTTTGTGACCACTATAAGGGTTAAGTCAGAGTAGCCTTTCTTGGTCCGCAGTGTGATCTGATTGTTGATATTTGTCGGGTTGTTTCAGGTGCAATGGCTCCTTCCAAGAAAACAAAAACTTCAAGTTCCTCCATCGGTAGTCAAGCAGGCACTTCCAGGTTGCGAGCTTCTGTATCCGCTCGCCCATATGATCTGAATAAGTTTATCTCCTAGGAAACCTAAGAAAGATTTATTAGCAAAGCAGGCAAAAGGCCAATACTAGAAAGGGGAATCGATATTGGGTCTCTCCAAAATGACTTTTACAGAGTGCATGAGGAATTGGTCAGGCGAAGAATGAGGGTGTTCTTTGAAGAATATAGTGAGGCAAATTTAATGGTTGTTCGGGAGTTCTACGCGAACTGCTCGGAACATGAGGACTACGTATGTACAGTCCGGAAGAAGAAGGTGGACTTTTCCAAGGAGGCTATCCAAAGGGACTATCACCTGCCTAAGTACGTGGAACACCCCGATACAACCAACTACTATTTGGCGCACATCAAAAAAACCATACCCGTGGCTCATTTTCTTTGCGACCATTTGTGTACCCGGGAAGGAGGTAGTATGGTTAAAGCAAGGCAACAAATTTCACTTGGCTTCACTCACTTTTAAGGGGAAGTGCTCGCTATACACCATTAATAACCGCCTGATGCCTTCACGCAACACAACTGAGGTGAATGTCCCCGAGCTGCTCTGCTTTGGTGCCTTACTACTGGCCACGACTTTGATGTTGCTCAGGTAATTCAAGGCGAGATAACGATTCGTTGAGTGCAGAGGTAAGGATTCTTTTTTCCGTCGTTAGTCACTCGGATGTGCCGTGAGGCACAGGTACCAGAAAACAGCGCTATGGATGCGAAGGTCAAGCGCGAACAGAAATTTTGGGCTGATAAAGTTTTCATTGGGAAGGAACCTGCTGTGGCTGCTGAGGTGGATGGTGAGGAGTCCGATGCGCCCGAAGAGGAAAGTGGGGTGCACGGAGGGGATGTTGATGCTTCGCCCCCGCATGAGTAGGGTGTTGGAGAACCTTCAGGCAGCAGATGGGAACGAGAATGGTTGCCTTGGAACTTGAGATGGCAAGGATGCGCACTTCTGTCACGGATTTGGGAACTCGAGTGAGTGGACTCCCTTGCTACATAGAATGCCAAGTTCGAGAAGAAGATCATGGTATGGCTGCATGCACTTGGCCGGGCTTGTCACTTGGACCCCGGCACTGTCTCGGACACGGAGTGACCCAATCAGGGGAGTTTTCTTCACCTTTGCATTTTAATTTTGTGACATGGGGACATGCCACTAGTTATGTATGGGGGTGGGGGTAGTGTAAATAGCGTTGTATAATTTGCTTCCTATTAATTGAAAAACAAAATTCAAAAACATTTTCTTAATTTTTTTAGGATAAGTTCTTCATTGTACTTCCATTGGGTTTCTTGTTTGATTCTTTA